GTCGTGTAGATTTGAGTAAAAAAAGATGGATGGTGATGGAGAAAAACAATTAGCAGATGGTGGTGTTTCATCCTCAGATTGTTAAAATATATAAATGTTTTCCAGGAACTGGAAATAGGACAGAAACCAGGACAGACAGTTTGTTCTTTAAACTGACTCAAGATGTTCCGTCTTCACAGCTGCCAAAAATTTCACTCCTCGTTTAGAAAGTGCACGATTTAAAATGGTGTTTTTGTCTTAAAAAACACAAATCTGTCCAGATGTCCTCAAATCTGTCCAGATGTCCTCAAATCTGTCCAGATGTCCTCAAATCTGTCCTGGAACTCTGTGAAATCCTTCACTTCACCTTCATTTGGGCAAAAACCCCAAAGTACAACAATGAAAATCAGCATTTGAAGCTGATTGGTCCAAATAATGTGCCAGTCTCCAACCACCTTCCTGGTTAACATCTGCAGAATTTCAAACACCAAATGTTAGAACTTCCTGCTGGAGCTAACGGCACGTCAGCGACTCCTGACGTAAAATCAATGATTTTTTTTTTTTTTTTGGGAAAAACTTTTCCCTCTTTATCGTCAGTTAACCTTAGATTTAAAGACGTTAGAGCTCAGAGAAAGAACCTCAGCTGGGACTGAACGTAGTTCCTGGTACTAGTTGTTACTGCAGATGTATTCATGAGTTCCCTCATGATGAAAACCTGATAACGCAGTACCTGGTTTCACCACACCACATGAATGTGAATGTGAATGTGTGAAATCTTCCCAGCTCTGTGTCAGTACTGGTTAATGTCACGTGTTTGGAAAATATCACCATATCAGCAGAAAGTTCATATGGGACGTTAATGTGTGAAATCTTCCCAGGTCAGATATCAGCAGAAAGTTCATATGGGACGTCTTTACTGGTTATTCTTTACACCTCGGTCCATTAAGAAAATCTATGTAAGTTAATCTGCTGCTGCCTTAATGAGGTGAAGTGATAACATTTAACATTTAACATTTAATATTTCATTTTTTGGGCGTTTTATCAGAGGTTTGTCAACAACAACACAAACAAAAGAGACAACAGAAAATGTTGTCCCCTGGAGCTAAAATCCTTGATTTTCTCTATGGACTTTGGTGCAAACGAGTATAAAATGGAGGAGTGAGTGTTGAATATTTGTCGCTGAATAAAACATCCGTCCTGAACTGATCCGTCACATCAAAGCCTTCCTTCCTCGCCACTGATTTCACTTCATTTCAAAGCTCTTTCATCTCAGTCTGATTCTAACTCATTCAACTTTAATGTTTCCAAATGTATGTTTTGATTGTCCTCGTTTGCATGAGTGTGACAAACGTCCTCTGCCCAGAAACATGTTTGCTTTCATTTAGTCTTTTGGCTGAATTTAAAGAGACATGTCATGATTTTTTTTTAAGATTCTCTATCACTGGTTTGTTCTGTTTAAAATCCACATCACTGTTTGAGGGCGGTTTCCTCTGTGGACTTTGGTGTGTTAACGCGTGTCAAACCGAAGGCCCGTGGGCCAAATGTGGCCCGCCAAGTCATTTTGTGTGGCCCACAGGAGTTTAAACCCCATGTTGGTTTTTATTTATTTAATTATTTATTTGCTTAGACGGTATACCATGAAAATAATCCATGTAATCCAGGTTGGGTTGAATTTCAAAAATCACATTTGTATTTAATAGGATAAACAACAAACATCTACTATTGAGTAAAATCAAACATTTTCTCTATGGGATTTGGTTTGGGAGAACCAGTGGTTTTTTCTACTTCATTTTTCTGTCATTCTGATGTGCGTCACGTCTCACTCTCTGCTCCACTGTGTCTCTCTCTCTCGTCCACAGTCCTATAGAATCCTGCCAGAACTTCTACAAAGACTTCACGCTACAGATCGACATGGCCTTCAACGTGTTCTTCCTTCTATACTTCGGCCTCCGGGTGAGTGGAAACGTTTGACTGTAGCCCGGTTGATAAACTAATTACAGTCGTGGTTGTTTTACACACGGGGAGTTCATTCATTCAGGTCAAAGAATATTTCACATGTTCGGCGGCTCGACCCCAGCGTGTACCAGCAGTGATGTGGAAATGTTTTAAACATGGCCGTCACGTTAGAGACCAACGCCAATAATTCAACGTCAGGAATAAATGAATAAAATCAGCTCTTACTCAGCCAACGCCACCAGCTGGTCACATGACAGTGAAGGCTGTGTGTGTTTTTATCCAGTGTCGGATGAAGCGTCGTCTTTGATCGGTCACAGTGATTAGTTTATTCTTATTAAAAATAGAGTCTCGTTTCCTCCTTTCGTTCATTATTTATTCTGTTTATTTGTGAAATAATAAAGTAATGATTTCTTTCTTCTCTTTATTTCCCACAGTTCATAGCAGCCAATGATAAGCTGTGGTTCTGGCTGGAGGTCAACTCTGTGGTCGACTTCTTCACTGTTCCCCCCGTTTTTGTCTCCGTCTACCTGAACAGAAGCTGGCTTGGTGAGTCTGGATAAATATGCTGAATGGACACCAGGGGGCGCTGTTGCCTGGTGGCAGTGAAACGCTTGGTTTGAGATTGAGATGTTTATTTGACAAAGTCAGGTCGATGTGTTCATTAGGGTCAGAAATGTTCGTCCGGTGTTTAGGTGAATGACCACAACCAAACATCTCATTATGACATCAGTCATCAACAAAATGAGAAGGCTGTGATTGGTCAAAAGATATTCAAACGTGAGAAGCCGGAGAAAATCAGCTCAACATCAGGAAACAAATAACACATTTTACACGTTGGTGTTTTTTTTTTCTTTTCATCCCAAGTACCTTCTTGGTGTCCTTGAGTTTTTATGATTGATTTTTATGGAGACACGGAGCAGTTTAAAAACTAGAACAGCCTTGAAGACCGTGAGCTGTGGTGAGAATCCAGGACGCACGGCTGTGGACACTCAGAGGAAAGTAGGACGTTACGTAATCAGGTTAGGGTGTTTTCTAGTCTCCTCTCACACACACACACACACACACCTGCGCGTGTGTGTGTGTGAATGAGTCAATTACATTTATTCATGGCAATTTTGGAGGTGAAGTGTGTTTTCAGGTTCAGATGTAGGATATAACTGTATGGACTTATATATAAATATATATATATGTGTGTGTGTGTGATGGTGAGTGTCCAATCAAAGGTGATGGAAGCGTAGTACTGCAGTACTGCAGTACTGCAGTTATACTCTAGTCTCCAGCTGTGAGCTAATGACTCCGTCCTCGGTTAATAACATGAACCGTGGACAGTGAGACGGTGATGAAAGTGAGCTGCTGCCTGACGAGACTAATCACCTGTGAGTCCGATTCCTCCTCCTGCTGTTGCTGCCTGAGCCCATGAGCAGAACCACAGAGTTTTCACTCCATCAGGTTAGATTTCAAAGACAGGACAAATCATCGTGTGTCAGACGCAGCAGCTTCGTCCACACCGAGCTGTGGACGAAGCTGCATCAGTGATGCAACAATCCAGAGCACTAAGGCAGCTAACTGTACGCCGTAAGCTAATTTAGCCATTAGCCAAACGATCACCAAAATAGTCAAATATCAACAGATTATATAACTCATGGTTAAACCTTTTGAGGATTAAGAATTTAACAGTTCGTACAGCTTTTGTTTCTATTGGAGGCTAACATTAAGCTTTTTTAACCAATCACTTGTATTGTAGCAAAGGTTTGGCTAGCTGTCGTTCACTTTTGCTATGTATTTGTGTCTGGTGTTTATCTTTTTTTTTTAGCTACCTTAGCTAATATATTTTTGCGGGGTCACATTTTCTGACCCTTTTTTTTTTTTACATCTTTTCCTATTTTTTTTCTTTTGTCGTTCCAGCTCAAAGTCTGTAGTGTTTTTATCAAGATATGATTTTCTGGCAGATTTTTTTGTTTCTTCTCAGACCATTTTTCTCTTGGAAATTTTTTATTCTGTGCAACAACAGGAGTAAATCTCAGGTGAATTCACAGTCAAGGACGTTTGTCCTCAGTTATTGTCCAACCCTATAGATTCTATAGGACGCTGCGTTCCTGACGCTAACGTCTGACATTTACAGATTAGCCAATGACACACTGTTACTTTTCTACACTGGATGGTCCTGGCTGATGGATTTTCCTGCAGGAAGATCGACAGGCCTGTAGTCGTCGTCCTGATAATCAATAGTCTAATCCATATGCAGCGTTTCTCCCCGTGTTAACAGGCGTGTGAGGAGGGAACGCCCTGTTGTTCTGCTCCTGCTCCCACTGGAGCTGTTCATCTTCTTTCTCCTTTTATTTTTCCATGCTGCGGAAACACACATACACACACACACACACACACGACACAGCCACCGTGTGTGTGTGTGTGTGTGTGTGTGTGTGTGTATAATAATTAGGTTATCTTCTCTGTTGCACCAGGAAACCACTGGAGATCCAGTGAAGGTGGTCGTAAAAAAAACTGCTCACAGTGGTTTTATCTGCACAAATATTCTGATATTTTGTTTATATTTTGTCACTGGGATATAAAATATTATATTGAAGACTCTTACGTATATTTTTAATTTTTTAATTATTTTAGCTGTATATCTTTGAAAATGTTTTAGGTTTTTCTAAGCTTTATCTTGGTGAACATTTAGAGGCATCCTTAGGGAAGAGATATCTTCCCTAAGGATATCATAATATCATAATATTTTTGGGAAAATATGATTTTTTTTTTGTCTGTTTGTTTTTGTTTTTTTTTTTTGTCGTTTTATATTCATTAGTTTTTATTGACCTTGGCCAGTGTTGGGTTTGAGATGTGCAGTTCACTAAACGCTTGGCAGAGCGTGGGCTAAAGCCTTCTATTGCCCTCTAGTGGTGCTATGAGGTACTGCTCTTTACTCTGATAGAGATGTTTCTGCTGCAGAAATGGAGATTATAACCAAGTAGAGTATGAATCCAACGTACATAATGAGAACAAAGGAAACAACGACCCCTGATGGTGGAGCAAAGCTATTGCATGTAGCCTGACGGAAACATTGCATGTTTGCATTATTTAATTCTTCAGGTCATGAGATGGATTATTAATCCAAGTTCAGTTTTTTCGTGTGTTGTCGGAAGTGCAGTGAGTATAATCTGATACTCACTGAGTTGACTGTCAGTGTAATCCCAGTTGAATAATCCCAGTTGAATAATCCCAGTGTGCTGATTGATAAAAAATGTCCAGTAAAGGAAACACGTGACACGTCCGGTCCGTGGTGACCTGGATCAGAGAACGCTTGAATGACAGAGAATGAAGGAGCATCTGGTCAGTGGTCGTGTGTGTCTGTTACTGGGATTACTATACTTATGGGGACATTTTTAGAACCTGTTGTTAGGGTGGAGACACCTTGTCCTTCTTCAGGGATTTTGTCCTCGTGGGGACGTTTAACGGCTCTTGATGATTGTGTTCCTGAAGATTAAAAACTTTTGTTTGGAGTTTTTATTAGAATCAGGGACAGACTGGACCCACGGGTTAGAGCTGTAGTCATTAGCAGCAGTAAAACATTTGTAATGGATAGAGTTAAGGTCAGGGACACAGTGTGTGTGTGTGTGTGTGTGTAACTAGGAAATAACAGAACAGCTTAAAAAATGACAGAGGAAGGTAAGTCTGTTGGACAGAGGGATTAGAGCTGTGTCAAAAATAAAACCACAGCCGTTGGAGCTGGAGACACAGACAGTGACTGAGGAGGAAAACAACTTCATTCTACAGGTTTCAGCTCTTCAGTCTTTGAGTTTGTCACCAGATTCCTCAGGATCTCAGCACCAAAGACGCTGCTCTGGTTCTAATATTTCAGTCTGAGCTAAAACAACAGGCCTTGGTTGGTTTTCATCGGGGCGTCAGCCATGATTCCTCAGAAGCTGCTCATGTACAGAAGGAAACGCAGCGCAGCTTTTCACCAGGAGGAGACGGAGACTCGGAGGAGGAAGAAGTCGTGCGGAGATCTTTTCCAGAACGGTTACAGAGTGAGGCAGAGTCAACGTGGACGAGAGGAAGAAGAGCCAGGGTCGAACAGTTCTGTCTGGTCCTGGTTGATGGGTCTGTTCAGCTGGGGTAAGATGGAGCAGAACCTCCTGTCTCACTGACCAATCGGCTGCTCTGTCTGTCAGCCGAGTGTGGTCCACACTGTGGAGCGCGGTCCTGTCACCGTGACAGAGAGGCATGGTGTCTTAAAGGGCCGGCCACACTTTTATCACCATTTGTTCCTATTTTTAAAGACATCGTTTCGACACCACCAGAGGGAGCCAAAGTACCACCGTTGGTACATGTACCATAGCTTGAGAACCATTGTTTATGGTGTTGTTTATCGATCTCCTTTCTCTGTGTCTTCCAGGTTTAAGATTCTTGAGAGCTCTCAGATTGATACAGTTCTCTGAAATCTTACAGTTTCTGAATATCCTAAAAACAAGGTGAGAAAAAATCAGTTCACATTTATTTTATTTATTTAATTTTGTTCAACGCTCTGGTCCAAATTTTTAAAATGATTATTTCCCTGTGTTTCTTTTTTCCTCCCAGCAATTCTATCAAGCTGGTGAACCTGTGCTCCATCTTCATCAGCACATGGCTCACAGCTGCTGGATTCATACATCTGGTGAGTCTTCATCACTGCAGAGGTTCTTCTTAATGTCAGCGCTGAAACACACTGCCATCTGCAGGACAGATGGTTCACATTTGTTTTAAAGAACATACAGAGAGTTTGATTCTGAGTTTATATATAACATATATAAATAAATATACATCTATATGTTATATGTTGACTTTGAGTTTTCAAAATGTACTCTTTGATGCTGTTATTTGTTCCAACCACTAGATGGTAGTCTAAGCCTAATGAATATATGGAGAAGAGGGCCTAAGGCTAAGTTTCTGATGAAGTCTCTGATGTTTTCTTTTCTTTTTAATCCCAGGTGGAAAACTCAGGGGATCCTTGGGAAAACTTCCAAAATTCCCAGTCACTTTCCTACTGGGAATGTGTCTACTTGCTGATGGTGACTATGTCCACAGTGGGCTACGGTGATGTCTATGCAAAAACCACCCTGGGCCGTCTCTTCATGGTCTTCTTCATCCTCGGTGGTTTGGTAAAATCAGACTTTTTATTTCTCCTTCAGTCCCAGACCCTAGTCCTGAGTCCTCAGTCCCAGACCCTAGTCCCAGATCCTCAGTCCCAGACCCTAGTCCCAGATCCTCAGTCCCAGACCCTAGTCCTGAATCCTCAGTCCCAGACCCTAGTCCCAGATCCTCAGTCCCAGACCCTAGTCCTGAGTCTTCAGTTCCAGACCTCCCAGATAATACTCAGATAATACTTTTTACTGAAAATACATTGTTAACTTGATATATATTATATAGCTTATATTTTGTAGTGGCTAAAACCAGTTCTCCCTGGTTTCCACACCAGTGACCATGTGTTTACACCTCCTACAGGCCCTTCTGAAAAAAAAACTGAACTGTTCCTTTAAATAGTTTATCGTTAACTGTTACAGAATGTATTTCAATGTTAGCCTAGTCTGATGTCGTCTGACTCCGCCCCCTCCCACGTCATCCCCTGAACGTCCTCCAGTTCTACCATAACCTCTGTGTCTGATGATGTTGTGGTCAATGTTCTCTGATAAAATCAACCCTTGGTTTTCAGGATATGAACCAAACCCCACATCCCATAATCCCCTCCTACTTCTTTACCCACAATTCCAACAAACACAGGGGCAGGAAGATGAAGCTCAGGCCACTCTGACTGTTACCACAGCTCCAACAGTCGTCAGTGGTTGTCCTGCGGGGGTGTCACCTCAGACGGACACATTTAAACCTGTTTTAGTTACAGTTGTCTGCTATATTTCAGCCACTTCTGTTAGAAGCAGCATGTTGTTAGCATGTTGTAGTTTTTAGCCATTTTTCAGAGTAATTCCCAACTCTTTTCTCCCCATACTTTGAGCTAATTTCACAGCTAATAATTCCCTTACTTTTTTTTGTATTAGAAAAATATAAAAAACTATGTTTTGAAAAAAAAACTTTATTTAAACCTCGATGCTAAAGTCAAAAGGTTATGTTTTGAAAAAAAAACTTATTTAAAAATCATTTAAATGTTTTGAAAAAAAACTTATTTAAAAATCATTTAAACCTCGATGCTAAAGTCAAAAGTTACTGAGACGATGAAGTTCCTGTATTTTGAAGCTAAGCTAAAGCTAGCGTGAGCCACAGGGCGTAGTGTTCCGTGTTGACGAAGACCATTTCCTGTCTTCCACATCACCGCTGCCCTCTGATGACCTTCAGCTGTTTTTCTCCGTGTTACATGTTTCTGGGCTCTGGAAGTCTTTAGGGCTGCACTTCAAGCTGCTTCCTGTCAACGGCCGACTAAACCGGGATCAAATAAATAATCACTCCAGGCTGCCGAGATATTATTTAAGCCCCGAGTCCTTTCAGAGCCACGTCACTCCACGTTTACCTCACTAAT